CTCAGCTACTTGGGAGGCGGAGGCAAGAGACTCGCTTGAGCCCAGGAGTTGGAGGTTGCTGTGAGCTGTAATGCTACGGCACTCTACCCAGGGTGACAGCTTGAGGCTCTGTGTCAAAAAAAAAAAAAAAAATGCAAAAAAAAGCCAGCTGAAAGGAGTTTAATAACTAGGATTGTTCAGAGTGTTGTGGGCATTAGTCACTCTGGGAGAAGGATGAGAGCTTCTGCTGTGATACCAATACCAGGCTTTCACGAAAGAAACCCTTTTCATTACTCTCTGATTAAAAAGAGTGGAAGCTTACTCCAAAAAACTGTCAAACATATTAACTAGAAGAAAAAATTATTTGTGGTTCTAAGACATAAAATATTCATAGCATTATGGATGTTTTTGCATATTTGTAATTATTTTTGTGTGTGTGTATATTATTTTGCATCCTAATTTTTCCATTAACATTTTAATAAGAAGTTTTTGTATCATCACAAACCTCTTATTCTCAGGCTGTTAGAGTGCTGGATAATACTGCTTTGAGTAGTCGGATCAACACGTATTTAATCATACACTCATTGTCATATATTTAGGTAGTTTTAAAGTATTATTGTTTTGAAATAGCACGGCAATGAAAATCTTTGTTCAGAAATTTGCCAATCTTACTTTCTCAAAATAGAATCCTAATTGTTACTAATTCTGAAAATAAGTATATAAATATCTTGGGGGATATCTGCCAAGATAAATAGAGGTACCTACCTAAACAGAAATACCTACATTGTTCTCCAAAAGAGATATTTCTGTTTATAATCTCATTAGCATCGTATGGATATACTGACTTTACATCTTTGCTAGCATTGGCTATCTTTGCTTTTAAAGTTACTTCTGATTTATGGACATGAACATATCTTTTAAATTGTATCTCTTCTATTCACAACATGATATTACAGAAAGACAATTATTTTTGTTTTCTTTTTGGCAGACGTCTGAATGTTTCTTCTTATTGGCAGATACCTAGTTTTAAGTAAACTAATTATAATTTTTAAAGGTTAATAGCTCACTTTATATAAAGATAGTTAA